CAGAAATAATACCATTACTTATCATACTGTGATTATTGAAAAGATTTTACTAGTAATATTAAGATACAACAGTTTAGCAAAAATATCACTGTTAGTTAAGTTAGATAATTGTGTTTCCCAAAGTTTGTGAAATGTCTAAATGCTCCTTTAAATAATAGCATAAACCAACTTATATATAATGTTCAAATTATATTATGTGCCAAATATAAAAATAAGCATATTTTTATTTTCTATTTTTATTATTCAGCATTTATTACAAAATATTTAGGTAAAAATTAGTGTTTTCGAAGTTTATCAGTTCAAAAGATATTAATTTTTGAAATTGGTGATATCAGGCTTACTGATAAGAACTGTATTTGACAAGTGAGGTCAGCATCACATCACTCTTTCCAGGATAAGTTGGTATGCTTTACATTCCATAAAGCAAGCTTCACCAATCTTATCAATTATCTCATACTTAAATAACAGTGAAAATAAAATTGATGGATAATCTAGAACTGTGATCTTTTAAGTTTTTTGTTGCAACTCCCTTGTCAGCCTGAAAAAATGTTTGCATCACACTTGTTGAATGATATTTTCAAATTAAATGTAACATTTTAAAATTATTTTCAAGTTTTACAGGCCAAAAATATATCATGTATCGTTCTGAAATAGTTAAAAAACTATCTTATCCTACTTTTGTGAGGAAAGATGTAAAGAAGTGCATGCTAATGAAAATATTTTAAGCCATGTCGACGGTTTGGAAAACGTTAGGTAATAACAATAACCTTAAATAACTTTGGCCTCAATATTAAATTTAATTAATTAAATATTAACTAAATGGCATTTAGCAGAAGAGTGCCAATCCGCAAAATATGCAAAAATTAGTTACACTACCTCAAAAAAGTTTCCATACAGTTAGTTTTTCTTTAACATTGCTAATAATCTATTCATTATATTATTTTTATTAATCAGAAGGGTAGTAGAGTCAAAGGTGTACCAACACGATAACAAGTTCATGCTGGATCACTAATCTCATAGCAGGAAAAGATACAACTTTAATCTGAAGATCAAAGACATTTCCATACATCTATAATATCTTAATTCTATTTCTATTCAATGCCATTATTTCGCTCAAATTTATTATCTGAACACTACATTCAAGGTTTCGTTAAGGTTCAGCTTACCTCAAATCATCATTATGTGATTAGAACAGAGCATTCGTGACCAAATCGTGTGGTTGAGAAGTCAAGGATTTTGTCTCAAAAAAATTGGAACTTTACAAAATAAATCACATCTAAATGTACAGTACAAATAGACACAGTGAATTAAAATTGTTGGAGGGCAGACCTCATTCAGGCTACCTAAGAAAATTGGATAGAATTAATAGGATTATTCTGAACCAGGTGCGTCTAATCGCTGTACAAGTGCACTATTCTTAACCAGTGGGTTTGAAAGACATTACGAGATATGCATAAATCCAAAAACTGTCAGGAATGTTCTGAGAATGAAAGATTTTCATCGATGAATTGCATGAAAAAAATCAAACAAATAAGAAGAAGAGGTTGGCGTTTGCCATGGAGTTAGCCAATAAGCCAGATAGTTTCTGGGATTTTGTTTTATTCTGAGATGTATCTAAATTCAACATTTTTGTACCAGATGGCAGGTGATATATCTGGAGTAAAGACAAAGAAGCACTTATTTCAAAGAATTTGTGTCCGACCTTCAAGCTGGGAGGTGGAAGTGTAATGGTATGGGGACGTATAATTACTTTAGGAGTTGGAAATCTCATTTTTATTAATAGAATTCTGGACCAGCTTGTATTGCCGAGGTTTATTTTCCAACAGGACAACGATCCTAAGTACACCGTCAAGAAAGTAAAATAATGGTTAATTGACAATGTCACAAAACAGTTGCAAACTCTTCCCCAATCACCAGACATGAACCCAATACAACATTTGTGAGATGAAAGAGGATGGCGCATAAAAAATCATGTTGTTTGAATTGAAGATCTCAAAGTAGCTCTATTGCCAGAATGGGATTCAATTAGCATAATGATGATTTGTGATGTTTAGATGTGGTTTTGAATGGAACTAGTTTTAACTAGTTTCAATAGAAAAGGACAATCAATAGGTATTTTCAATACTAAATCAAAAAGAATGAAGGATACTTTATATATAGTCAGGCAAATGATAAACGTTCAGAAATTTGTGGAATCATCATTAGAAAAATGATGGAACTTGCTTTACCAAACATTGTAGAGAGATTTAATGGTGTTAATGCAACATCAAAATAAGTTTTTTCACCACCTAAAGCTGCTCTACACAAAATTAGACAAGAAGTGACAAAGCTTCAACCTATGACCATGGCATCAGAACAAGAATTCCAGGATTTGGAACATCAATCGGGAGGAGTGCCTTCACCCTCACCTCAGTCAAGCTGCCTTATAGAAGCAATATTATTTACTAGGTACAGTAAGCAGGAAAAGTTTAGAAAACTTCTTATATTAAAAAAAAAATGACAAGAATAAATAAAGGATAAAATAATTATAAAAATAATACAATGTTTTTAATTAAGTACATTCACAAATTTATCATATTTTTGAAAATAAATTACATTAAAACATCTTACCAGACATAAAATAAAACATACTTAAGTTTTAACTCCTCGTTTTTGAGCAAGGTAAAACTTCTAAATTCTAAAGACTAGGTTCACTCCTCCATTTTCCATAACTTTAATGTAAAAATTAGTAGAAGGATAAATATAAAACATTTTTAAAAATTAATAAAAAAAATCTAAAATAAAGATTATTATTTTTAAAAATAATAGTCTTTGAAAAAGTAAACCAAAAAAATACATTCATAGCAACAATAATTGACTTCCTTAAAAACAAATCAACATTTCAATTCTTAAAGTTTTCATTTGTTTTTATTTTTAAATGTTTTGTTATGTTATACAGCACAATCTTAATAATCCAATAAATGTGGGACTGACAAATGGTCAGATTTTCAAGTATTTGAAACTAATGGGGTGGGGGTTCAGGGGCAGTTCAGGACATGTGAAGATTCTAAGCTTCACTAAACCCTTTTGCGGCACCCAAAAATATTTTTTCACGATTACTCAGAAAAACAGTTAGACTACAACTAAGAAGTAATAAATTACAAAACAATTTGTTTTTAGATTAGTTCAATATTTTTTAGAGGTTTTTAAAAAAAATCTTTCTGTTATTTACAAGATTTAATAATTAAATAATTGATTATAATTTCATTGTTTAGTCACAATATTTTAATATTTTGGGCCCTCTTTGGAGCCCTTTGCATTCTGATACCCTAGGGAGCCATTTAGTCTGCTTTCAGCTTAATCCTCTCCTTGAGGGTCCCATTTAGACAATGCAAAATAAAGCATAAAGGCTGAAATTTTGCAAAGTCAAATTCGATCTATTTTATTTAGAAAGTATAATAACTTAAAAATATAACAACTTTAAAAGTAGAAATGACAAAAATGTTGTAACTAAAAAACAAGCCACTCCATTCTTCTTTGTCTGTTACTGATAGTCAAAATGTTTTTCCCCAGATGTCACAAGCTGTCAGATTAGCAAATATTGGACTATAAAAATTGTACAGTATTAATACCAACAGCTATTAACCATGTTATTCTTCTAAAAGACATTTAATATTATATTTATTTTAGCAATAAAAATTAATATAAACAACATAACAAAGAAGTTCAAGAAGCACATTCATATACTAATTATGTTTAAAAAATGAGTGAAAGCTATAATTATATAGCATTAGCTCTAAAATTTATATATACCTTTGGAATAGTTGCTTGTATTACATGAAATGTTACATTGTAGTAAAGTGTCAGTCACTCGGAAGATGAGTGGCACAATTGAAAAAAATTGGAATTTTACATGGGAAGCGTTCAAAGTTTTTATGTTTATCGGTGTCTCTAGCTCACTTTAAAACAACAAAGTGGTCATTTTCTTAACCTATAATTTTCTCGTTTTTTATTAAAAGATAACGTTAATATTCATTTTTTGATCATTTAAATATAAATCATGGAATTAAATTGCAGTACTTTTTCTTGAAAAACTAAAGTAAATTGTTATTACAGTAAATATAAAATTAAAAATATAAATTTTTTCCCTTAAGAAATATATGAATAGATGTTTAAACGAAAAAGAAGAAAAACAAAAATTTCCGTATTGTTCCACTTTTCTTCCAAACAGACGATTAATAAATGAGGAAAGAGTAATCACAAGTTATTAATTATTGAATCATTAATGTCATTGTTTCAGACAATTGATTATAATCCCTTTTGGTATTGGTAATACTAATTCTTTAATGTTTAAAAATAAAGTTGTATTTTGGAATATTTATGATGTTGCAATACTTTTTTTTATTTTCTATTAGTAGGAAGAACATTAATAAACATGCTTATTGAAAGAATACTATATATAAAAAAAATTCATTAATTAGAAGTATAGACATAATATTCATTCTGTTTTAAATTTTATTCCTAAATTATAGATTTCATGTAATAAAATAAATAGCATTATGAAAATTTATGATATTACTATTACAAACAATATCATTAGTAGATCGTGTATAAAAAAACTAATAAAAAAAAACCTGTACCACTTGAACCCATGAAGGGTCTTGGAATCAGTATTATTTAAGGAAGTACTGTTTCTTGGTCAACAGAATATACTTCATACATATACAAGAATGCATGAAGTATAAGAATGTATTATTACAATTAACTATTACTAATTATCAACTATTACTAAATACAATCAAATTTAGTATTAGAGATATTTTAAAGTATAAGAATGTATCGTTTTTATTTTATACTTAAAGGAAACTAAAGTATATATTAATAAAAATATAATTATTAATAATATTTATTGTATATAAATAATAAGTCATAAATAATATTTATTTAATTATTAATATATTTATATAAGAATATCTATATTTGATTAATATTAATGTGTTATATTTATATATGTTCTCAAAAAATACACTTAATATTATTTATTTATTAATATGCAATATAGTTCCCCTTAAATAAAAATTATAAAGACGGTACATTCTTATACTTTACAATATCTCTGATACTAAATTTGATTCGTTTATTATTCTTAGTTTTGCTATAACAAAAACATTGTTTTTTTTTTCTAAAATGAATAACCATATTGGTCCCTTTAATATTTAAATAGCAAGCATGAGATTTCATATTTCTTCTTTTCTAAAGTACATGGTAGGTCAATTTTAAAGTGATGAAAATACTTAAAGTTATCTTATCTTCAATAAAATTAGCATAGTTTTTTAAAAATAGGATCTGTTGTTTCTGGTTACTATAGATATATGAAAAATAAATTGTATGTCTAAACTTATATTATAAATATATGTTGCACTATGTCCCCACCTGGTCATTATTTTATAGTAATACTACTGATTATTGTTAGCAAAAGTCATTTTATAGCAAACATATTAACAGTAATCTAGAAATTATTAATGCTAGAGTAAATAAATTAATTTAACAAGTGATTATAATTCTGAAAATCGTATTATAATTCACTGGATTTATCAGAACAATTAAAATTATGATTAATTGATTCTTTTATAATCAATAAAAATCCTAATATCTCATGAAAAATATAACAATACCAATAATGCAGTGTTTCATGAATTCAAATCAATGGTTGGACTCTGCATTAAAAGATATTTGATCGAATACAAGTTAGATATGGAATAATTAATTCTAACGGCTTTTGAAAAAAAGGGTTAATTTTCTATACCAGGACCTTGATGCTTTCCGAAGAGAAACTCATTGGAAACTCGATGTAAATGGTAAATAGAATGTATCTTGCTGAAGCAAAGCTGCCTTGATTGGCTATCAAGGTTGTAAAGCAAGAAAGGTAAGCTTGTTATATGCTACTATTTGGGGATGGCTACTCCAAAAATATTTTTCTTGTAAAAACACACGTTTTTATTAGCGATTCAGTTTGTCACTGCCATTTATTGAAAGTGACTGCAAAAACTATTTATAGGAAGTTTTTTTCCAAATCCCGAGCCATTTAAAGTAAAGGGCTGATAATGACTATATTGAACAGTTTCCTTTTCTGACTTATGTGAAGTTTTCATGGAACATTGTGCATAATCAGTTGGATAGTCTGGGAATCTATGGCTGACAAACATATATAGACTCATTTTTATAAATATGAATGTACAAATTATTAAGATACATATTTTTATTGACACAATGTGATATTTGTTATTATAAGAGACTGGATTTCCATACAGTAAAAAACTCAAAATATGCAAAATCATGTAGTAACAATCCAAAATATTTAAAATAATTAATACTTAAAAACCTGCAAACATATATTTTGTTTAATTAATTATATTAATTAGAAACTAGATTTCCATGTTATTGCACATTTTATTTGATTTGATTAGGTTTCGATGTATCAATATAATAAATTAAATAAAATAGATCATTTTTGCAAATTTTTAGGAGTTAATAACACAATTTTAAAAATTTAAGTTTTTACTACATGATTTTGTACATTTTCAGATTTTTACTGCAAGGAAATTTGGTCTCTGGTATTTGTTATTGATAACTGAAGTTAGCTTTATAATAATATTTTACTAATATGGTTGGCAAATGTATATTATTTTTATTCAATGTATTGCAAAGGACTAATTAGGTCAGTTTATATAGAAAATAGAGATAATCCATCAATAATTGTAAAAAATAATTAAACAGCTCAATAAATATTACTCGAATCATTTTAAGGGTTACTAAGTTGTTATTTTTTGTCAGTATCCCATACATATCTTCATTAATTCTTTATCATATAAATATTAATGTTATTATTAAATCCAAATGGCTAAAAATAAGCAATTAGCCTATTCACCAATTTATTAGATAAACAAAACAACAGTCAGCCTATTCTTTAACAATACAAGCTAAGTGCATAATTTAATAATAAATATAAACTGTAAAAAGAAATTAACAAATAAACTGAAACTTGCTATTCTTATATATGAACCTTGAAGATGGTAGGCTACATTAAATAAAAATCAACAGTTTATGTTGAACAATTTAAACAGTTCCAATTCCTAGTAGGCAACCCATCTTTATCTTCAGTGATTTCAGAAACTGAATCATCTTAGTTTGAAGGTAGGAACATTACTAATTCCTGTTACACCAACAGATAATAATTATTTAATAATTCAGTTAATTTTTATATTTTGAACACAACATTTTTAATGCTATATTATTGCGAAATTAAAAAAAAAAGGTTAAGAACGATGAAACATTTATGCATTATTATTTATGTCTGTCGTAATGGCCATAGTTTATTATAAATTATTTTCATTTTTAAACCAAACATTTCAAAAACAATAATGAAACTTGAATGCTCAAATTAATGATGCAGTAATGCTCATTTAAAACTGAAGTTATTATAGTTTGTTAATAGAATTATTAACAGAGAACCTAGCAGCCAAGCGATTCTGATTTTTATAATTTTATTTATTAGTTTGTTGTCATAATTACTCACTACTGGCATTGTTTTAGCTTTAATTGTATTTTATAACATCTCAATATAAATAGGATTTTGAATTTGAATTTGAAACTCTAATTGCATCTATAATAATTTAATTATATACTATTGTTCTTAAATAAATAACTTATATGTCATATTTATTAAATAGAAAAAATAACTTTGAAGGAACTATGTATGACCTTCAATTATTTATTCAACTAATAAAGAAAATATATACACTATCTAGATTTGTATCCACACGTTGTACATTTCATTATGGTATGAAATATAATACCTCTTTTAGATACATTAAAAAAGTGAAAACAAAACAATCTCAAACTGAGATGACTTGAAGAGTTGATCGTGGTGATCTGAAGCAAGCTGATTCTTCATGCTTATATAAATAAGAACGAAGAGCGAATGCTTTGCCACAACGAGAACATGAATGTGGCTTTTGTTCTGAGTGGGTTTGAATATGAGCTCGCAAGTTTGATTTGTCTGCAAAAGCTTTACTACATACTTCACACTTAAATGGTTTTTCACCTGAAATAAATGAACAATTAAATATATGCATATTAGATTAAGACATATATAATTAGTAAAAATGATATACATGTATGTATATGTTTATGTATATATATACATAAATGTATATGTACATATATGTATATGTATATATAAACATATATATGTATATGTATATATATATATATATATATATATATATATATATATATATATATATATATATATATATATATATATATGTATATGTATATGTATATGTATATATATATATATATATATATATATATATATATTCAAACTTCACTATTTTATTGGGAATAAGGTCACTTAATTCCCTTAAAATTAAGTGACCTTATTCCCAATAAAATAGTGAAGTTTGAATTTAATACTCAAAGGTCGATGAAGGAAAAGTTGTAAATATATATATATATATATATATATATATATATATATATATATATATATATATATATATATATATATATATATATATATATATATATACACATATACATATATAAAGAGAGATAGAGAGAGTCATATCACCATCGTTTCATGTATTTTATAGTCTCTTTCAAGTTCAGTCATGATAGTAAATAAAAATATTAATTTTCTTTTAATAAATTTAACTAATAAAACCTAGAAACCAATGTGAATCCTTTGATGTTTGCCATCAAAAGATTGAAAGGTGGATAATACATTCGCCAACACTAATCCTCCTTAAAATTAATTAAATTAGTTCATTCACTAACTATTTGTTAGAGTGGAAAGACATTCGTACGAATTGGTCCATTTGCGAATGAGATTTGCCTAGTGTAAATGCACTTTATAAACAATGATTTTACTTTATCACAAATAACTCAAGCTTTTCCAATGTTATTTGCATTCTATTTCTTCAAACCAAAATTTGACTTTCATATCTATTCAGCCATGAACAATACTCGCTATAAGTTTAATATAATACTATCTATTTAGAATTATGATAACATAAAATCAATAATTAATTGTTATATTAATAATAATTATATTATTTATTATTATAATTATGATTATATATTCATCCTGAAAGACACAAAAGGAGGAAGAGAATGAACATTATTACGATCACATTGATAATATATGAAATTATTTCTGGCTTATATTTATATTTGCTAATCCATCCTTCCCCAATACAGTTTTTTTGTCTCTGAAGGCCTCCAAGTACACATGTCTGCATTATAACCAACCTATGCTATTTTTTTTTTCTTTCTATTTCGATTACACTCTACAGCGCTATTTCTGGGTTGAGGGTAGGGGTTGTTCTAGAGGTACAACCAAACCTATTCTGATCAGAGTAGTAAGATTGTGGTTCATGCCGTGGATCCGCAACCTTTTGATACTATTTTATTTATTATATACACGCTTCATTATTTCATTTCTGTATTCTTGAAGAATAATTTAACTTCCATCCTTCCAAATAAAATTAAGATCCATCTTGATCTATGCTTTCAATTAGGTGAATGCTATTTTTATGACTAATTTTGAATAAATTAGCATCACAGTATGTTGGTCAGTGAACAAATGGCTATATAATACGAAAAAAAGTATTTACAAGGTATTATGAAAGGGGGGGAGGGATAAAATTTCATTCAAAGTAAGTGACTAAAACATGTGCTAAATACAATTTGATTTATTTTAATAAAAATAGTCTAATTCTGATAATTATTTTTTCATTTTGTAGAAAACATGGGACCCTTTCTAATTACCCTTTTTATTTCTGTGCATATTATTTTTCAAAGTTTTTTTTTTTGTCAGTATCCCATACATATATTCATTTATTCTTTATTATATCCAATGATTGAGACATAATTTTAAAGATTATTTTCACCTTCACATGTGAAAAATAAGAACATCTCTCTGAAAGTTATAAAAACAAGTATGAAGAAAACAAAACTTTATTTTAACTCGGAAAATGTACAATTTATGGTTAGATTATACCCAAAGTAATTAGTAAGGGTTCCAAGTTTTTTATAAAATGAAAAAATCATTATTGCAATTGGACTGTTTTTAGTAAAAATAAAACATACTAGCTGGTCCCTGTGAATAATTCTTAAAGAAAATTGGTCAGTGAAAAACCAATGATATAATATAAAAAGAAGTTAATGATATGTATTATGAGATAGAAGAAATAATTTTCTTATTCTCAGTAGAATCACATTAGTTCATTCAAAATAATAATCCCTAGCATGTGCACATTACTACGTGGTCTTTCTTTGTTACTAATGGTCTGATTGCTATGATTATTTTTTAGGGAACTATTTAAATTTTCAAATAATTGTGGGTCTAATTAAGAAAACAAAATTAGAGTATACTTTTTAAATTATTCGCAAATAAAGTTCTTTATAATTCATAACTTTTTTTAATGAAAAAATGGGTGGATGTTACTATGATTCGTCATTGCTCTATTTAATACCCTTACATTTGATATCTCATTCATCAAAGTTGTTATATACCTCATTGTTCTTGAGAGCCAGAAAATGGATCGTTACTACAAAAAACTATTGTATGGTATATAAAGATAGTTATGTTGAAATAGCCATAGCAACTGATTTATTTTTCATTATAATTTTTTTCTCTGCCATTTACTAAAACATTCATAACTCCTCATGATTATCTCCGAGCTTAATGCTACTTTAACTATTGGAAAGCTGATTTATTGCTCTTCAAAACTTAATTAGACATATGATTATTTGAAAATTGACTAAATTCCCTACAGAACAAAATAAAAATCATGGAAATTGATTCGAAATTTGTAAATTTGAAACAATTTGTACTGACCCAAGGAGCAAAGTAGGTTCAAATAAATTTTTAAGGAGGAACAGAGTTGAGATTTGTATTTGTATTTGTATCTCGAAAAATCCTGAAATACCAATTTTAATAGCAATAGAAAAATAAAAACGAATTTCTTCAAATTGAAGACAAGGCTAGAATTTGTTTTTCAAAAATTGTGATAACTACAATATCTTTCCAACTATCCACACGAAATTTAATAAGAATTTAGGGCCTCATAAACTCAATGAAATGAAAAAAACCAGACCCCTGCAAAATTATCAGAACTAGAGATATAAAATAAAAACATGTGGTGAATAAAATGCTTGTGGTGATGTATGGTTGGCATTGTGAACTTGTGATGTTGGTGGTATTACTCATGAAAGGATTAATGTCTAGCCCCTCTCTTTAGATAAACAGAACTCTCATGTATCCTCTGAAATGAGCAGAACTCTTACATTTTACAAAACTAGTATAACAAATAAAAAACATAATAATTTAAGATATCTGTTCTGTTTTAGGAAAAAAAAATTATAAAAAGCTTTAAAAATTATAAAAACATTATAAAAATTATAAAAAAATTACACTTTAAAAATTATAAAAAAATTATAAAAACCATTCTCTTTAGATAAACAGAACTCTCATGTATCCTCTGAAATGAGCAGAACTCTTACATTTTACAAAACTAGTATAACAAATAAAAAACATAATAATTTAAGATATCTGTTCTGTTTTAGGAAAAAAAAATTATAAAAAGCTTTAGGATGGAATTAACTGGAGAACAGAGCTTTTGTGAGAGAGAGCTTGTATAAAACAGAAATATTAAATATAAAATATTACTAAATAATAAATAATATGAAAGCTAAAAATAAATATATATTTCATGAGCCAGTAATCATAGTTGATGTTACAAACCAGCTGAATTACAGTTAGACCTATTAGACTTCAAATGTGTCCAGTTTCTGGACTTATTTTGTTTCAAGGACTTAAGGAATAAAAATAAACCTTTCTGATCTGAGAATAAGGTGGTGATTGGTAAAATTATCTACCCTTCCAGCCCTCCTTGGAATGAAAGTATGAATATTAATAAACTATAACAGTATTTAAGTCAAGTATATAAAGGTTAAAAAATATTCCCAATTTATGAAACAATTATAAAACCATAATGAATTACCTGTGTGTGTTCTTATATGACCTTGTAATAGCCATGGACGGGAAAACGCCTTGCCACAGATCTGACACCTGCATGTTTGACTATGAGTCCTTATGTGCATGCTAAATGCTGGTACGGATACATATAGTTTTCCACAATGTGGACAACTTTTAGCTTTCTTATCTGACAAAGAACGATGTGTTTGTCTATGCCTTGCTAGATTACTTGATGTACTATATCTCTTACCACAGTCACGACATCCATATTCCTGTTTTTAGAAATAGCAGTAATTAAAATAATGCATGATTGAAAAATAATAATAAACAATTTATAATATTTAATAATTATTATGGCGACAGCAAGGATTTTTAAAGCATCAAAAACTTTCTCTCTCCAACAGTTTAGGAAAGAGGCCATAGAAAATCTTCTACTGTCCCTTCTCCAATGTTTCACAGATCCATCTCTCCCCCCTCTCTCTCTACCCATCCCCTTTATTTCATTATTTTATCTTGTCAGTCACCAATCTACAAACTGATGATGGGCAGATTTGTAATTAGAAATTTGGTAAAGGGAACATTTTCTCAATTTCAAACTACTTAAATTAGTCCAGACCAGGTACCAATGCTAAAGATATCAGGAAGCGATATCAAAATTCATTGTCTCGTCGATCCATTAAATCTTGTAGCTAAGGACAAAATCAGATTAAAATTGAAAAGTCTACATACATCAAACACATTGATTAATTTCGTAAGAGAATTTAACTAAAAGACTAAGTATCTTTAACAATCCGTTACTGGAAGTGCACAACTTATTACCTTTATGTTCAACATAGAGGACTGTTAAGAATCCATCTCTTCGATCCCTTATATAAAATAATTCTCAGATATCAAATTTTTTTCTGATATATCAAAAATTGATCCATCTAACTCAGGTAATGAATGTTCAGGTTTTCTGAGATGTATGAGTCCATACAATTTTTCGAATTTTATTTTAAATGTTCTAATCAAATTTAGATTTTCTTGATCTAATCTATACAGACCTCCAAAAGTCAGATTAAAGGATTGAAAAGTACATTGAAGGTTCTCTAGGTTTTTCTTTGAAAGCTTCATTAAATTATTAAGAAAAGAGTTTAAAAAGTTAATTTGAAATTAGAAAAGATTAAGGTTTTTCTTAGGTTGGAAAGGATAGAATTCAGTTTTACTAATAAAATGGCAAACTCCAAATATTTGGGTTATTCTAAAGACAATAATGTAGATACTTTTACAAAAGGTAGGTACACTTTATCCACAAACAAACCAGAGAGATTTTTTTTTCCACACCCAGAATATCAAAGATATACGTTCCAAATACTATTGCAAATTATGACCGAATCCGATAACTATTCTTCATATTCAGAGGGAAGATGCTATGAAGCTCGAAACTTGGTAGCATTTCTGATATTTTCATCAAGAAAAATAACTTAAGATGAATAGCATTTTGTCACAAAAAATAGTGGAGCCCTCAAATTAAGAAGATAAAATAATCATATGTTCATATTTATTCCTGTTTAGTGTCATGAAAGTTTCCTCCCACCCAGTTAATTGCTAGAAAAATAAACAAAAAGATATTGCCTACATCTACTATGAATATGTCAAAAACATCATTTCTTAAATAATTTTGAATATTTTAAAAATCATCCTTATATATATATATATATATACATACATATTTAATTGCATTCTATGACTTTTCTCTAGGATGTTGAAAGATTGTAAAATATAATATTCATTCAGTATAATATTTGTGCATAGTGAAAAAACAGATAACTGAGCTCCTTTTTTATGCATACCATTCTACAGATCATTTCTTATGAAATGTTCGTTTTTATTATTTCATAAATTCAAAGTGGGATTAGTGGACTTTTGTTGTCTACTATGTTTATGTTTACAGATTAAAATGAGCTGTTATTATAATATAATAAATTATTATATTATAATTATAAATATATAAATTATAAAGAAATATAAATCCTCTTTTTTCTGATAATATGTACTATAATTCCAATTGATTTGCACAATGTTAAGTACGCCATCAAACATCAACCAACACACGATTTTTGTGAGTTAATTTTTTTATGAGTGTAAACTTGGACACTCGCAGCCCAAGCTGCAAGAAATATTACAACAGGGTTTGGGGCAGAGTGTTATAACAAACAGACCATTCGACAGTGGTTTGAAAAACATTTGCATAAAAAAAAATTATAGGTTTCTGTGTGGTGGTCAATGACAGAAATAATTCATTTTCTCTTTTTACCCAGAATCATTGTATAATTTAGTGGTCTTCAAGATCAATTAGGTCCTGTCTCCATTGATGTCACTTTACAGGGCTTAAATACCCAATGTTCACATTCGTCTTCCTCTAAAGTACCTTTAATATGGTTTATTTTAAATAATCAACTATCTCTCATTATTAAAAGTTATGAAAACATAAATATATAATAAATATAACTTTTGAAAGAATTTGATAACTGAATAAAGGAGAAAAAAATAAAAATGCTTATCCAGGTCGAAAATGAATCTCCAGAAATACAAGTCAGATGATATACATATAACATATCGTTGGAAAGCGGAGAATTTTAGAAAAAACAATATCTAATATAGAAAGTTTTAGAAGGTAACGGAGAGTGGCGAAAAAATTATAAATATTAATTTTTGAAAACTAATATTCTTTAACATTAATCACATGATTTTAAGGAAATTAAACTTTTAAAACTTTTAAAATATTTTTAAGTTTGAAAAAAGTATTTAAAATCCACCTAATCAAGGCAATGCCATTATTTAAAAAACTATTACATTGTATTTGTGTGAAAGAAGAAGTGAAATATAAAAATATTTCATGGATATATTTAAAAACATTAAATATATTTACTGTAGTTTAATAAATCTAGATCTCATATTATATTTAAATAATTAGGTATCTATCGTCCGTTTATTCCAAAAAATCATCATGTAAACCTTTAAAAAATTCAATTAGTGAATAATTTGATGAATTTTCTCTTTGTGATATTCCAATAGCATTCATTTCCAATTAGTGTGGCAACTTTTGATCTGTCTATGACAGACAATGCAAATCTCTTAGTTCCATTTTATTAAACTTTGCAATGGAAAATAACAGTTTAATAACTAATAGTCGTACAATCCATAATCAACGGATTGTACAATCCATAATCAACGGATTGTACAATCCATAATCAACGGATTGTACAATCCATAATCAACGGATTGTACAATCCATAATCAACGGATTGTACAGTACAACCCATAATCAACCAGTGATATAATAAATAGGACTTTTGTTATTTATGGTTTGCTAGCTATAAGCATTTAGCTTTAGATCGGTTAAAAATGCTATTCATAAATTTTATAATAGCCCAACATGGCTAGAAAATAATTTCTATTCAAAGCTGAGAGGTGAGTGAAAGTTGTGTTGTGCGCACCAGATTTTTTGTTATACTAAATATTTTAAAAATGATCAATCTACAGTTAATTTTTATAAATCTTAACTTAGCTTCCCTTTGCAAGTTTTGTTTTCTATGTTCTATCTTAGATGTAAGAAACCATTTTAATATAAATATATTTTTTATATGTAATACTTCCGTTTGAATAATTCAGAGTTTAAGTACAATTTAAAATACAATTAATTAATCAATGAATATCAAAATTATAAATTTAAGAAAAATAATTTATAAATTAATTACATATTTAGTAGTCCATTTTTTTCTCTTATTGGTTTATTTTTAATCTATCCATTTTAATAAAAAAAGGATCTTACTTTTCGGGATGTGAGTGGAATTGAGGGGGAAGTAATGGCTCCAGCTGCAAGACTAACTTCTGCTAACTGGGTTAAGTTATAAAATTCATCACAAGGTACCTTTTCTTTTTCTTCCTCATCATCTGTGGAAAGAAGCAAATGTAGAATAAAACATAGAAATTGCCTTTGGCTTATTTTCATTAATATTGTTTTAATAATCTTAAATAAATCTTTGAATTAAATTCTGAAAACCACAGTTTTATATATATTATATTTATCAAAAAGCGAATAAATTATAAAGATATTTTTTGAAATTGGTTAAACATAGCAACTATGTATAAAATCTTTTGATCCTCTCACTGTGACTTGTCATGGGTGGGAACAACAGTTATATAGACAAAATATTCAACCTTTAAAAAAGCTAGCATCTGGTTTGTTCCGAATCAGGACATTGTTTGCATTCCTCTAATACTCGTTTATGAGCTGTTCTAGGCTGATATAAATGTTTTACCTCAATGCCCATTGACTGATGGCAAGTATAGTGTAAAAATTATTCATGATAATATTATAACCATCTTGATTTATGAGACCAAAAAAAAAAAAAAAAAAAGATTTCAGTGAAGTTATGAATAGTTAAAATGCTTCTAGAATGTTAATGAAAAAATAGTACAAATAAATGCTTAGCTTGGACTGAGATAAAAAATCATCTATTTAAAAAAAACAGTGGCTTAGTTCAGGCCAGTGGACGCAAGTGACACTTGTATCCCTTGATCACCAAAATATATTCTTCAATCTTGACCATTGTTGCATCACCCACTGTGTTTACACAAATTTAATCTGTTTCAGGCTACAATATTGTAACTTACTTGTTGTGATTAGGTTAGTCTTTTTTCCAAATTATTATTTTAGTACTCTTATAGTATTCAGAATTGACAGATCCAATAGGTAATACTGATGGTTCTCATTTTGACTTCAGACATTTTGTACATTTGTTGAAAGTTTTGGTTGATATTTTATGCCTCATTAGAGATATATTAAACAATTATTGTTGCAAATTTTAGTTACTTAGATATTTTTTTCTTCAATTAATTGTTGACTTCTTAACATTCAATTTTTTTTTTAATATGATGTTTGCCAGAATACCATACCCAATATGAACATAATTCAATCTATTGAATAGTGTACCTAAGCAATTTCTTCTCTCAAAGAAATGTAAATTAACATTACTAAAAAGTAAAAATACCCACCTTAGGTATTTCTTCTGAAAAAAAAACAAAGGACCTAAACTTTACAAACTTTTTGAGGCATATGAATGTTTGGAAGAGCATATTCAATCATTTCCCAAATACAGCAGCCACTACATTAATTATCAGACCAAGCGTGTTTGTAAATAAGATTAAACCAAAATTTTATGCTGCATTAGTTATACAATTTATTGTGATTGTTTTAAGCAGGACAACAGTCACAAGGAGTAGGGTTGGAGGCTGAACACAATTGTGAATACCATGAAGTTTTGGATTTTGATTATATATTGGATGGATTGGATTAAAAACTACTTGATTTGAACAACTATCTTTTTAAAGTGGCAATGTAGGAAATATTAAGAAATTTGACCACAATGTTTGGTTGGATTTTCATTAATTCTAACATCAATCCCTTGAGAAGATTTCACCAACAAATATTGAAACTTTACTTTATAAAGTGCCTCAGGTGTTTGAAATCATTTTTTTTTTTTTTTATTTTATGAAAGCACATTGCTCAACATTCAAGTGATTCTATAACAAAATAATAATATGAGTAGTATACAAAATTAAACATTTCAGAAAATTTATAAAAATGCTTTCAACTTTAAATTGGGTTTTTTATAAAATGATGAAACATATGTACCCTTGTGGCTTCTTAATCCTTCATATATTGTGGTGAATTTTAGATAATAATAATGATAGATTTTTTCATGTTTGATGGACAAATAATGCAAATGAGATATGAACATAAGCATGCATTAGATATAAACAGAGCGTAGTTTGGCACAATCCAGTGATTACTGTTAATAAATGCCTGAAGTCTCAAAATACACCACTTCTAATGAAAACGAAAAAGAGCGGCATAAGATCTTACAAGGAAGCATTTTCGAACAAAATGCTGTTTAAAAATAATTGCTGAGAGAACCATGAATTATAACTTCTAGTAGAATCAGTGTACAATACCAGCCTTAGACATTCGAAGCCACTAGGCAATAACGTCATATCTTCCTTCACTCCCTAAAAATTAAATTTATTTCTTAAGCTATTTTAAATTATGTAATATCTGAACTTTATTTCATTCAATTTTTCTCAAATACAGTTGCTTTATTGATACGCTAAAATTAATTATTTTAATACGCTATGTATTTTTTGTGTATCAATTTGTAACAACTGGCAAGCTCTCCTGGAGATCAACAGGTGCCCCTCTAGGTCGGTGCCTCGGGGCGATGAGTAGAAATGACATTCATAGAGAACATGGATGAAAGCTTCAAAGTAAAAAAAAAAATCAAATGATGGAGTATTTTGAAAACAAAATCAAGACAATATTATATTTAGAGCATTAAAGAACAAAATCGTATGAATTCACATGAAATAACAGAAAATAAATGAGTATTTCTAAAAACTGTTAGAGGACATATGGTAAGTTGCAAAACACAAGTTGTGGAAAAAGAAAGAGAGCATTTTGAATATAGGGAAGTAATAAGTTGTAAACAAATGTATTTCAGAGAAATGAAAAATGATATGTGTTAGAATCATTAGATTATACTTGAACAGATGAAATGGCAAATAATTTGGGAAAAAACATTAATAAAATCATAGCTAAACTCATAATTACAGCTGAGAAATGAAATATTGCAAAGTTAGAACTAGGAAGGAACAAAGGGGTTACTTGCTCTGGCCGGAGAGATTTGGAAGGGGACTAATGTTGGAAACAAATTTTTCAGCTAATCTAAAAAAAATATTTGTTTAGGCTTTTTTGTCATTTTGACATTATTTGATTCAATGAAGTGAGATAATATTATGTGGTGTGTATTTAGGAGTTTATTACTAAACATGTTTTCTTTTATTGAGTGGCCGTGGCAAAATTCACGTTGCCCTTCCTACTAAAAAAAAACTAGTTCCGGTATTGATTTCTGCATTGAAAATTATCGACTACTGGGGAATTCATTCTTCCCGAATAAGCTGGTTCATAAAAGCTTATGAACGCAGCCACTGAGAGAAATTTCAACAGTATCATAGACTGTTTCATCTATAGCCACGACAAAAGAAGGTATTTTTCAGATATAAAAATAATCAGAGGGTCAGAAATAGGAAGTGACCATATGCTCCTAGTTACTGATACCCGAGTGCTCAAGGAAAGAAAGCAGAAGATGAAAGCCTATTCAAGAATTGAAGTCGAGAATTTGCAGGACCCTCAAAAGAGAGATGAGTATGAAGCAGAGTTAAAAAATTGGGTCCATGAATTAGAAGCAATTGCAAGCCTTGACAATTTATGTATTCAAATAAAGGATAGCATTCTGAAAGCAGCTACTGTAGTGTGTGGAGTGAAAAAGATTTGCACGAAAGGTAAACGTACATCATGTTGGAGCGAAGAACTGAAAGTGCAAGTCTTTCAAAAGAAAACAGTGTGGAAAGAATACTGTCGGAACTAAACTCCAGAGAACTGGCAAGCATACGTGTTGGCCCGAAACAAGACAAAAGTAAGAGGAGCAAAACAAAAATCGTGGGAAGAATTTGGAAGAAAGTTGGATCAGGATCATGGGGGAAACATAAGGATTTTCTGGAAAAAAATTAAAGCTTAGAGCTTAGAGCTTTAGAAAACAAAAGCTAATGTGAGAAACATGAAGAGTGAAGAAGGAAAAGTGGTGACGGAAGACAGAGCAATCTTAAAGGTCTGGAGACTGCATTACATGAACAGAAATGTAAACTGGAGTGAGGAAGAGTAAGACGAGGTGATCGAGGAAGAGGAAGTAGAGAGGGCCATATAAAAAATGAAAATAGGAAAAACGCCAGGACGGGATGGTGTAGTAGCTGAATTAATAAAGAATAGCTGTCCTGAGCTGGTGCGAGCATTGCAAGTCCTTTTCCAGAAAGTCTGGAACAAAAAAAAGGATTCCAACGCATTGGGAATATAATATTATAATACCAATTCACAAGAAAGGATGCCAGGTAGAATGCCCTAACTACTGACCCATATGTCTCTCGCCAGTGGCGTACAAGCTATATACATCCATATTGCTGGGTCGCTTAAGACCACTAGTTGAGCACCTAATAGGAGAAAAGGATTCTGGGTTCAGACCCGGCCGCCAAACCCATGACCACATTTTCTCATTAAGAAATATCTTACGGAAATCCTGGGACCTGGATAAAAATATGTACCTGGCTTTCCTTACCTCAAATCTGCCTTTGAGTTGCTTCCATGAGATGAAATATGGGAAGCTCTCAGATCGAAGAACATTCCAAGAAATCTGACAGAGGCGATAAAATCTACAGCCCAAAGGAATAGTCAGGCTGAACGGGCTAGAATCAGATTGTTTCAATATTGCAAAGGGGGTCAAACAAGGAGACAGCCTAAGCCCATTGTTGTTCTTGTTGTTCATGGATGAAGTGGCATCCATTTGTAAGAGAAGAACGGACAATGCATTCCTGGGATGTAGAAATATTAATGCCGTAGTGATACAGCTTCTCCTCTACGCCTACGACGTGATATTGATTACGGACTCAGTGGAAAAGTTGCAATTGGCAGTTATGGAATGGTATGAAGAGCTCCAACGAAAAGTGATGCTTATAAATACCAACAAAAGTAAGATCCTACAAGTCGGAAGAAAGAAAGAAGATAGCCACATATACTGTAATGGAGAAGAATTAGAAGTGGTGACAGACTTCATATATCTGCATACAGTGATAGACGGATCTGGGAAGGTAGACGCAGAAATATCAAACAGGATTAACAAGGCAAATGCAGTTTACTACCTGATATGTAACACTGTAGTAAGGAAGAGAGAAGTAGGCAAAGATGTCAAGCTACACATCTTCAAATATCAAACTATACTTTTGTATGGAGCGGAGAGTTGGATATTAACAGACCGACAGGAGAGCAAAATCGCCGCTGCCGAAATGAAATTTCTGCGAAGGACGGTTGGGAAAACAAGGAGAGACCGAGTTTGCAATGAAAGTATTCATCAGGAACTGCATAAAGTCAGCTCCAATGAAAGAGCTCCTAGAAATTCGTCAGCTAAAATGGTTCGGCCATGTTATCAGGATGGACGACCACAGAGATCCTCTAAAGACCACGGAATATGTCCTAAATGACAGAAGACCTAGGGGCCGCCCTAGAATGTCCTATCTTGACTATATTGAGCGACTCTGTAGGACGAGGGAGAATGATATCCGACAGGCGAGGAATCTATCTTGAAATAAGGAAGAATGGAATTCCTAGCTGAATGCTCCTCTACGCTGAGACTCTGAAGAGAAAAGCTAAAGAAGAAAAAGAGAAAAGAAACCTAACCAAAAAGACTGGAAGAAAAGGTTATATGACAAGAGAAAATCAGAGACAAGAAAACTTCGATGCTAAGATGAGGAGGAAAATCTTGAGGTTGGCAAGGAAGCAGTTATTGGCAGATAGATAAGGCATTTTCGGGAGCTGCTTAACTGTGATAGAACAGAATATGCAGAAAGGCTTAATGAAAGCAGACCTTGACTCCGAGGTACTAGCCGTCGAAAACGCCCCTCCCCACTATTCCCCCTACAAAGATGAAATAATGGACATTGTGCAGGGTCTGAAGAATTAAAAGGCGCCAGGTATAGACGGAATCAAGGCCGAACTTTACAAGTATGGTGGATATGAAGCTTGGGATGAGCTCCATAAATTTATTCATTTTGTTCATAGATATTTCGTGTTTCACAAATCAAGTTTTGAACATAAAAAGTAACTTCGAAACAGTAAAAGACTGCAGTTTTCTTTAAAAAAAAAAATTCGGGGGAGGGGAGTGGTTCTCCCCTCTCTCCCAAATATATATTACCTCACCCACCCAACATACCGCCACTTTATCTTTTAAACTTTTTTGGGGGGATTAACTCCTCCCTCGGAAAAGTATAACCCATCTGACCAAACATATTGTTATTACAGGTGCACTTATATTCAAAATAAAATTGGGAAGATCAAAACCCTACTCCTCTCCCCCCCAAAAAATGTTAAGAAATGTAGCATCTACCCACGCAAACATATTGCCATTTTATCGTTTAAAAAATTAATTAAAATTTTAAGAGGAGTTACCTTTCCTCCTCAAAAAAAAAGTATCACCCCAAACATACATAGTCATAGAGGGGCACCAAAACCTTGGTATCGTCTAGAGCTCCTCACTAGCGGATCTAGGATTTAATTTAGGGGGGGGGCTTCAGCCCAAAGGATTTTTTTATCATATATATAACGATAATTAATTTGAAGAAAAAAAAGAAACTAACTACCCACATTACGAGTTCTCTTAGGGATTCTTGAAGTTCTATTAAATGTAATTACACGAACAATAATAGTTTAAAATATTTTTTCCTATAAAGTAAGGTTATATTTTACCATTTTGGGGAGGGGCTTCAGCCCGAAAGACCCTCCCCCCCCCGTAGATCCGCCTGTGGAGCTCCTCAAGATCCCTGTGTATAGTTTAATGTTGCTCAATGTAGCCCTAACACGTGCAATCATATTGACATTGTTTCAATAATATTGAAGGAGATTCAATAAAAATAAAAATAAATTATCTCAACCAATTTGATTGACATCAATATAATTGATGCCGATATAGCCCTTACACGGTCAATATATTGACTGAACTCGATATTGACCGAGTTAGGGACCCTTAAGACGTTAGCAATGCATAAATTAATAAATGAAATTTATAAAGCTTAGAGAAAATTACTATTTTATTTATTAACTGGTAATATTTTTTTATTAAATCTATCTCTGTTTAATTTGTCTAAAACCTATTATCAACTGTTGGCCTCCACTATCAACTACCAAGCGTCTCAACTATGCGCTGACTATCATTCAATTTTTCAAATCAATTATTTTTTTACATGTAAATTTTTTTTAATTATTTGATTTATTTTGTAATAAAATGAATATATAATATTACTGTGCACATCTATATAATGATGGATGTTTTAAATTAAAAATGTTGGGTTCTCAATTCCCATCACTGTGAGTTAATATAACATTTCGTGGTGGTTTCATTTGATGAGTTAATGGAATAGTTTTTGAAAATTATTTTAATTTTAATCTATTAAAACATTCTTTATATTTAGTATGTGTTCAACAGTTTAATTACAAAAGACAATATTTTGTTTTCGAGGCATAGTTGTGTTATACAAAAGTTTTTCTCACACCTCATTTAGAGAATATAGGTTGATTTTTTTGAGATTTTTATTTCATTCTTATCGTAATTATTTGTGTTTTACACATATTCTTATTATGAAACTAATCATGACGTTAATATATAAAATGTTTGCTGTATGCAAATGTTCGTGATTAAACCTAAGATAATATAACTAAAAGAAAAATACTGAGGAATCATGTGGTTTTAATTTATTTATTTTTTTTAAATTTGTTAATAAAAATACTATACTGTTCTGACGAATTGCACAATTGAAGGCTAAAAATTTGCGAAGGGGCAAGAGGATGATACAACCAACTACTTTTTAGATTTAATTTAAAAGAGAAGTCAATTTTAAAAATAAAAAAAATTCTAATGTCTTTGCTTTTAAATAATACTTACTTGAAGAAAGGTTTTCACAAATTTCCTTCATTAATAAATGGGCTATCGTGAAAGCTCCTCATAGGTTGACAGCAAATCCATCATTAATTTGAGCCTGTACACCTAGGCATGCATACCAATTGAAAAAACAAACAGTAATCACGACTTAAAAATATAGTCATTTATTGTTTAAAATTTAATTTTCATCCGCTTGCCCCTTTGTGACTATGTGATTTGATTTTTTTTCTAAAGCTAAACTACACACGACTACGTTTGTATCGAAGTATCAAAAACGATGTTTTATTAAGAGATTGTATCATGTTTCCATGAAAACCATAAAAAAAAATTGTAAATCGCATAGATCTAAGTAGGTTAAATAGATATAAAACACCTTTAATCGCTGGGGAACAAAAGTTATACCATAGTATAATAGGGGCAAACAGGGTAAAATATCTTAGTTAATAACCAATTCATTTAATATATGAACATCCTAGCTTAATTATATGTAGTTTTAAGATAACAGTTTTTGTAATTGCAACTTGTTTTTATAAAATGGAAAATGACACCTGTGAATTGTAAAGTTCAGTTTCACTTTAAATGCTTTATAAAATGAAATGATAATATTTTTCGATTATTAAGTTTTGAAATTGTTAAGGTTTATTTGATTTTTTCTTATAAGAGATGAAAAAAATTGGCAATGCACAGAATTTCCTATTATGGTTTCGAGGTTTCTCAGTAAGAAGTAGTAGGGGGTTTGCGATATTTCAATGAAAAGGGCTCATATCAAAGGACTGAGCAAAGGATTTCTGTTAAATAATAAAATTTATAGGAACTAAATCGATTATATTACTTAATTTAAATATTAAAATTAAATCCAACCTGTTTGCTATCGTCGAAAGGTTATGTGATTGGAAATACTTCAAGCTGTTCGTGTAAAATATAGATTATCTTTCGTAAGATTCGAATTAAGATCTACTATATCCACAAATAGAGGACGAGACAAATATTTTAATTTTTTACAAATGTATTTTTTATACGATGCCGAAACTATATGTTAGCGAATTGTAATTTATCTGATTCCACATGCGCTAAGTTTTGATTTATGTTCCACATTTACACAATCTGTATGGTCATATTAATCCATCCTCCAATATCAAAATAAACTTTTCTTTTTTTTTTATAAAAGGTGACTACAGTGTCGGCAATCTTTTGAGAGAATGGGGTTAAGTTTTTGAATTAATTAAAGATTCCACCATAATTGCCAAAAATTACGTACCTACTGATTCAACCACCTTGCTAGTTTTCTATCTTCAGCACTGACACTGACCCGGATGGAATTAAGTCGCCAGAACAGTCCATGCTTTACACTAACTTAACGACATTAGGATTTACTTGGTGTGGTTAGATCGCCCCTTACCTTGATTGTGAGGATACCTCTTGTGTGTGAAGAGGAAAGCCCTGGGCATGACTGAAGGCAGGCTCCGAGTATAAATAGTGATCTCCTGTTTACACGTGTTCTCAGCGCCCCACCTTCAGCTGCTACGAACTTCACTTGTCTTTACTTACCAAGTATCAATTTTATTTTATTTTTTTCTGTGAACTTTTAGAATCAAAGTAGTAGTCGCTTCAAAACTTTAATGACGTTTTTCAAGATTATTAAGCTAAGCAACAAGATTGTTCGGTATCTTACTTTTTAAACATCTATATGTAGTGCATTCTCTTTTGTCGTTTTTATTAATCCTCCATTAATATTCAATATTGGTTTCAAGAAGTTTTTAGAAATATTAGGAATTATTTCTATTATATGAAGATATAAAAAAATTGAAAGACCTGTTGCTTGAATACGTTTGAAAAGGCATCTTATCAGTAAGGTTCATTTGTATTTTAATTTATTTTCTAATCTGAAAAATATGTTTCATTTCATGAATCATATTGAGAAGAGATAACCATAAAATTAATATTCATTAACTTTTTTTTTTTCAAATTTAAGGGGAAAAAGATTATCACCTTTCTTATGTTTCTTTAAACTGCTCAGTATAGTTTCTTTAGATAAAAAACATGACCATATATACACAAGTAGCATTGAATACCAATGTATCAACTGATTTTATTTTTTCAAATCATAGAGATAATTCAAGAAGATGGTTCGGGTAGCTGCTAAGAACACTATAATTTAGTGGATATTCTCCATTACTACATTTATTTATTTTATTTAATTATTTAAGACTTTTTCATAAAACAATGGGTTTCCTCAACCTATATACTTATTATGTCCTTCCATATTTTTCTATCCAGAATCCATTCTTCTTGCAGACTATACCCCATCATAAACTCTTCTATTACCTCATACCAGGTTTTACTTGGCTGACCTCATCTTCTCCTTTGGTCAATTTTCCAACAGTAAACTTCTACTGGCAATGTTTCTTCAGGCATTCTTTTAAAACCTCTATATCTCTAAGGGACCTATTTTCGATTTTTTCGAGAGTATTTTTTTTTCACCTTGTATCTTTTCTCGAACTTATTCATTTTTAATTTTAGACATTCTGGATATTCATACCTGTCGTCGCCAGTACTCCATTTCAGTTACCGAGTGTTACTTTTTACGTTAACCTTTTATGATCCACTTGTTAATTAATTATGTTACAGTTATTACTTGGTTAGTATATTTGCAGATCAGTCCCTACCATTGATGGGTATACTCATAATCAACCGTAACGATCACAGTAATTATGATTACTTGATTACGATTACAGTGAACTCGTGCGGCACAAAGTTGAAATCTATGAACCAATTATTACGGTGTGGAAATTGAAATATATTTCAGTAAATAGAGTCAGTGAAATTACGAAAACAATAAAGATTGGCAACGCGAAATAGTGCAGGTAAAAAGGTAAATTTTGGGATAGGATACTTATGCCTTGGCTGAACATGCTGAACCCCGAAAGATAAATCTCTTGCCGACAATCCGCTTAGAATTCGTAAATGAACTTGGGCTATTTCAAACGTCAAAAAGAGTCACTGTTCGCCCTAGAACAAATATTCGACCAATAAGAAAGCCTAAAAATGTTATGGGGAAAAAATTGAAATGTAAACATTTCTGAAAAGAAATAAGGAGTCAGTTGAAAAGAAATAAGGAGTTCAGTCAGGAGATCATGGTACCTGAACCTTCTCAACCGAAAGAAGGATAAGTTAGCTATCCAGAGGAAGGTTCTGCTACTGGTCACCAGAGCATATAAGACTATGAAGTGTCTCACGATGGAGTGCAGGTGCCTGGGAAGGTACCTCTCGATCTTCTTCTGCAAGAAGATTTGATCAAATTTGATCTACAAGAGAGAAGTGAGCACAGGGATTCCGGAGGACCTTAGAGTGAGGTTTGAGGAACGACCCAATAAATGGAAATCAGCATTGAGGGAAGCCACATTCGAAGAATGGAACAGGCGGTGGATCACTACCACTAAGGGAGCTACTCTGAGGAAGTATTTCCCCACCATCCAGTCTCGAGTAGCAGCCAGATGGATCGAACTTGACTACTGGGTCTGTCAATTCCTCACTGGACATGAGGGTCTTTGTGCCAAGTTACATAGTGTTGGACAAGATAAAGATACACTATTCTCTCGAGGGCGTGGTGGCCGAACGGTATAACGCGTGTACGCAACACGCGTTACCCGGCGACCATCCTCATGATAAACCGTAGTTTACGTGTTAAAACATAATTACGAGTTCTCGCATCCCAGTACCGGAGGGGCTTTTAACACTGGTATTAATCTCCCGCCTTCTCCCCAGGCCCGTGAAAATCCCCGTATAGCCTAAAAGGCGAGGAACGGTTGGACAAAAAAAAGATACCCTATGTTCCAGTTTTGGTGTCCTGGACTGCCGTAACAGTCATAATTTATTGCCACAGCCAGATTTACAGATTTAAGCTCCCCAAAATGGCATAATATAACCATATCTTTTGAACAAAAAAATTATCTTTAAAAGTAATATTGTTCATTTGATTACATTTAATAGGACTTCAAAAATCACTTAAACACCATTTCATATAGTTAGCTACTTTATTTTTCTTCCAAAATAATATATATATATATATATATATATATATATATATATATAAAAATACATATATATATATTTAAAAAAATCTTTCGGGCTAAAGCCCCCGTCAAAATTATATCCTGTACCCGTTAGTAGAAGGAGACTTTCACAGCTTCAATCCGGAGTAACTCCAGGACAGAAATGCAGGGAAGGGCTTAAGTTTTACTTATTTAAACAATAAAATGGAATCCCGTTTTGTGGAAAGATAAGGGCGGGAGAGGGCAATAATTATAATAACGCTTGCTTTGCATACCCGTTGCCTGATAACTAGATAAAATGAAGATAACAAGATAATATAATATTATATAGTTCTCGTTCCGTTGCAGGGGCTTTTAATTGTGGCATTAATCCCCCGCCCTCTCCACTTACTCGGAAAAACTAGGTATAGTCGAAGAAAAGGTGAGGAAGCGGATGACAAAAAATGAAGTAATGATATTCATTCAAAACCTTCTCAAGTAAATCTATTTTGATCATAAAAAAATAAGGTAATCAATAACCTTCACATCAGCATCCTTAATTAAATCTTTTTATTTATATTTATACTGTTGAATAGACAAATAAATATTTTATTTATAATTAATTTAAAGCCTTTTTTCCCGTATGCCATCCAATCGTAGGAAAGAGAACTTTTAACAATATTAAGTTGAGTTAAGAGAAGACTGTTCCTTTCACGAACAACGAACGTTGTATTATGTAGATCAGGTTGCAAAAGTGGCCTGATAAATAATAGGAGGAGAACAGGAACAGAGAGGAATATTGTGTCTTCAGTAACTGGTCAAGATACTGATATACTACAAGATAGAAAAAAAAAAAAAAAAGAAAAAACGCTCACGCTGGAGTACTTCAAATTGTTGAAAACGTATTGTGTTAGTTAAGGCTTGATCAATATATTGCGTTTGAGCTCCTGTTTAAACTTTCCTGCAACTATATTTCGAACGCAAATAAAAGTTGAGAACAAATCTGTTTTACCTATAGCAGCTTTTAGCACAGTTCCTGAGGAATGATATATTCGAATCAAGAGGAGGAAGAAATGGATTGGTTCGAGTGGATCGAGGGGCTAATTTTACGAAACTGACAGAAGTGAATGATCCCAACATTAGTCAGTTGAGCTAAAAGAAGGAACCCTTGGCTCTTCGCCAACAACCACCGGCCGAAATAACAACTGTTGCTCTCTGCTTCATTTATACTTATAATTGTAATCGTATCAAATGAAAAAAGTCTCTCTTTGGAGATATTCTAAGGTTTGGAAGGAGAAAAATTTCGTATTTTAACAAGCACAGTACCATATCTCAAGA